AAAAAAAAAAAAAAAAAAAAAAAAAAAAAAAAAAAAAAAAAAAAAAAAACATACGAATATTCTAATTGCTGCAAATAATACTATCTACATTTCACTGATACACTAAAGCAGCGATATATCACACTAAAAAATTACCAGTTTCAACAATCAGAACATTAAAAAAACTTGTTCACTTTATACCAAATACAACATGAAAAGCCACACGAAAAATAAGACGTTCGCTGAAGCATCCGACGCAATTATATTTGCTTTTTTAAATTAAAAAGAAGTATACTATATATATATAAAAGAAGTCATGAATGAAAATCACGTTTACTTAGAAAAATTTTTTTTCTTAAAGTATTACTATATATATCGCAATTGTTTCGTGCATAAAAACAGAGAAAGGCGTTATCACAAACTGAAGTACTGTTTCTCACATAATCTTATTCGCTTACAATAATTCGTGTGATTGTATTTACGCTTAATTAACTTGCACTCGTTAAAAAGCACACCTACTATCGATTAAGGCTTCTTTACAGTGAATCCCATACATGTCTTTTTCATTTTCTTCCGAGACTTTGTTAATTCTTTAATTCGGATATCTTGAATGCACAAATTCTTTCCTTCTGCAGAAAATACATCGCGTATCAGCTAAGGCCGTGTCGTATATTGTACTTACGATTAATTAATTTTTAAAGCACCTCTCGCGAAATTCTATTATTATAATTCTCTCTATGTAACGTTATAATATTCACGATGAAATGGTAAATCACATGTGCGAATAAAAGAAACCTTGAGTATTCGAGGAATATAACTATAAAAAAAAATATATATATTTTAAATGGACGGCTGTGTGTCGTTTATAAAATTAATACGTAAAAAAATTTCTCTCGGCGTTCGCGCGCGAGAATAATGTATAAAATATGAAATTTTAGAGCGTAGCGTTAGAAACGCGTCGGTAAGAATTATTTTAAACACTTACGATTTGCCTTATATTCTATAAATATACAATCGATAATTGTCGCTTGTTAAAATTACAAAGGAAAAACGAGATACGCCATACAGTGAGTCATAGTCAAAATTGGTCACATGAAAATCGTAAATTTCGAAATAGTGAATGAAATACAAAATGGAATAGTTTTCGTCGAATTTGAGAACAGAAATGTTGTTTTGGATCTTCTGCGTTTATCCAAGGTATAAATATGATGACTGATGCTATGTATACCACGTCTAAGAAGTACAATACATCGCAGCGATATATTGGTCGAAAGGTCGCTTACAGTAAACTTCGACAAGTTGGTAGTTTATATTGTTTCAATTGTGTTGTAGCTCGATACGATAACATTTGCGTGTTAAAAGAACCTCTAAGTCAAAACAAAATCATCTTCGTTAATAATTTGCGATGGAACGGAGGCGAAAACCATGATAGAGCAGTATAATTATAAAAATGGAAAGGATCAACGAAAAACAGCTAAATTTTAGTGCACCAAAAATTGCTTTGCACGTAGAAAAGTATTTAAAAAGGAGATACATCCTGAAAATGTACGTAAACTTTTAAGGAGAAGAATTTCCATGGAATACAAAACATTCGTCATTAATATTAAAAATTGGCTACTTCATCATTGTTCTAGAATCATTAGAACTTCTCTCCTGTTATTAGATTTAAACGTTATTGAATAAATAAATAAATAACGATTCAAATTCAATAACGATATAATTTACAATAAGAATAATTTGGAAAATGCATTTATTAAGGAATGGTCACAGATACCATTTTCTTTTACCGAAAAATTAGTCACGTCAATGCTTAACGGATTACAAAGTATTGACACCCAAGAAAATATTAAATTTTTTAAAATATCTTCATTTTCTAATTAATTATTTCGCCAAATGTTCAATGGCCGAAATTCACTGTACATCGAGCTTATTTTTATTTCGACTTATTTATCATAAATCGTGTACATACCTTGTACATGTTTTTTGCTTGTATATAAAAAAAAAATTCGAAATAATTGGTTTTGGACTTATTGAAAATTAATCTAATTTTGTACTTCATTTACCATCTCAAACTTTATCATCTAAATCATCGTATGGTCGAGTTTGAATGTACGTCATTGCGATTAAACTTGTTTAAGGGTGTTAGTAAAATGGAATATTCGTTAAGAATGTACATATGTTTATATGATATAAAATAGTTAAATGCAAGTATGAAAAAACACTCGAAAATATGCTTGAGCCGAGATTCTAACATAAGGACCGTAGCATTTTGATAATGTTAGCGAGGAACTCATATAGCACATCGTTTCACCCTTTAAAAGTTCAAAATTTACATTAATTCTCGATGATTTTTCAAATTTCGAGTTAAATGACATTTCGATCCATGAGTATGGAGATAACGAATAACGTTTCAACATGGAACTGCGTATGCATAGAATAAATGCTCGAAACACTAACGTGAAATATCTCTCTAAACATTCTATGATCAACATACAAAAATAAACGAATGTTCGAGCAATAATCACTCATTCCCCCTTCTTCTGCATCACAAATAATACAAAAACTCCACCTCGTGCCTACGTAAGCATAAGTAACTTTCTTCCTTACGAGTCTAACAACTCATTTATCAAGGCCTTGATTTTAGAATAGCTAGTCGATGCTTGCCGCAAATACCCTAACTAGGTAACAATATCGTTATTGTATCGAGAGACTGTTCCTGTTGAATCTCTTGTTCATGCTGCAATTGCTGCTGCTGCTGCTGCTGCTGCTGCCGCGCGCTCTGTTTAGCATGTGTCTTTAAATGCGAATTCAACATTGTTTTCGAGGCAAAAGATTTATGACAACAGGTGCAAGGATACGGCCGATCTCCAGTGTGGCCTCTGAGGTGCACCACCAGAGTGGTTCGCTGAGTAAACCGTTTCTCGCAGTGGGTGCACTTGTGCGGTTTTTCCCCTGTATGAGTGCGCCGATGCACGCTCAGATAGTTCTGCGAGATAAACCCTTTACCACAGAGATCGCAGACGTGCGGTTTCTCTCCTGTATGCTTGCGCAAATGTACGGTCAAGTAGGTCTTACTGGAGACAGCTTTGCCACAAACTGGACAAATATATTCGTTCTGGGGCCCCATGTTCCCATGCGTCTTCATGTGCACCAGTAGCACTTGCTTTCTGGAAAAACGTTTGTTACACAGCTGGCAATGATGTTTCCTCTGCGGTGGTACATAGTCAGGCTGATGCAGTTTCGCATGCAATCTCAAACCTTGACGATATCGAAAAGGAGCACTACATATCTCGCATTGGAACGGTTTCTCAACCGAATGTATTGATTGATGCTCTATGTAGCTATTGGAAGAAACGAAACTGGCACCACAGATTTCGCATTCATACTCGACGATATTGTGACGTTTCTCATGCGCTATTAGATTCTCTCTGCGTTCTGTAATGTAGTCGCATGTATCGCAAGCGTAACTTTCATCCATTTTGTGCTCTAATTGATGTTCTTTAAATTCGGACGACGTCGCAAGACTACGACCACAGTGCTCACAAACGAACTGATCATCTTGCAACTGTATCTCGTTCTTCTGTTCGTGCATTTTTAAATGCAGAGCGAGAGCATTTTCAGAAACGAAACCATGTCCACAGAGATTGCACTGCACGATACGATCGGCGATGATTATCTCCGCGTTTTCCACGCTCGGCATGTGCAAACGATTTGTGATGAGCAGCTGCTTTGTATCTCCCTGATCGAACATCTCATCGTTCGGGCTGCATTCTTGTTGATCCTGAGGTGCGAGCTCAAGCTTTGACACAAAATATCTGGAAAGAAGAGAGACACAAAACCTAGATCAATCAACATATCATTTCTAATCGATCGATATACTTTACTTTTTTTTCCTTTTAAGGGATAGTAGTAGCATTTATTTTGTCAGATTTTTCTCGGGGGCAAGTATATATCTTTAGGAGATTAAATACTTCATAAAGTGCCTCGGTGCTTTCCAGTTTTTTTTCTTTTGTCGTGTTCTTCGCTATTTGTAAGCTTTACACAGTAATTTTAAATTCGTTTGTGTTAATACGGGTGAGAATATTCATTTTGGAAATATATTATTCAATGACATCGCAACATACTTCCACATGATCTTCTCAATGTTTGATTTTGTTTAACGTAATCGAGTTTTTTTTCATTTGATATCATTATTTTGTCATTTTCAATTGTTCAATGTATTTGATACTTATACAAATTAATAAATAAAAAGATTACTTAAGAACGTTATTGCGACATCTGTATATAAGAAATAATTGTAAAAAATAAATAACTATTATAGCATTATATTTTTATCATTATAAGAATACCACTAAATATTAGAAAAAAATTATACAATAATTTATATGATCACATATATTTTAATATTAAGTCTCTGCCGTACACTTACCACATGCTGCTCTGTTTTATCGACGGCGCTATTACGTGTACATCCACCATCTTGAATTTATAATAACGTAGCATAAGAGATTTACTCTTTAAAATATCTAACAACTACCCTTAAAGAAAGTGAAATTCAAGAAAGGAACTGAATATTTAATTCACTTAATTTTTACTTTAGTAATTAAAATTTGTTAGCAAAATTAAAAAAAAGAAAAAATCATTCAATGTAAAAATTACAGAACATCTTTCTGAACTAGACTGAATGAAAACTAGAATTTATTATAAATAGTTATACGAACCATCATACTTTCCTGTTTTAGTATAATAAAATACGATTAGAAAAAAAAAAGAAAGAAACTAGTCTTCATAATGGTAATACAACTTTCTAATAACGTTGAAAACTTTAATTAGACGAAAAATTACATTCAGAAGTGATAAAATTTTTAGAAATCCTTTAGCAACGATTACGTCCAACGATTAATTATAACTATGTTATTCAGAATATCAATAGCAGTTTTTTTTTTTTTTTTTTTTTTTTTTTTTTACGAGATTACATAGAAATATTTAAGCGTCTTCATACTTACGTTTTACAATATTCATATGTAGTGACCCTGTACTTACATTAATTAGAGGCACATGAATTCATTGTTAAGGCTGAGATACTAACTATATAGATATCACTTTGATCTACCGGTTTAACCAAAGAATGCTTAAAATAATCGTATACTCGCACAATAATTGTATGCTAATGCTTCTCTATCTATTATAACGATACTTTAACATCAAATAATTTTTAACACTTTATACGCAATTATACTTATTACAATTAGCTCTTTCGATGTAAAATGTCTTTTTCATATTTCATCGATCAAAACTTGTCTCAAAAATTCTATCTTTTTAGGCACATTAAAATGTTAGTTCGCTAAACAGGTACTAATTGTAATTGAAGCAAATTTCATGTGAATTTGAAAGTGACATTTTCGAACGAAATTTCGCGATTTTAAAAGTCTAAACAATCGGAAAGGATATCCTATCGCTTAAAATATTTCGAATATATACGAACAAACAGTATCACAGTGACGACATGCATATTACATATACGATTAATTAATTAGTAATTCCTTTTATACGTATACCCCCACTGCTAATTAACAAATTTGTCTGAACTTTAAATTGCAGCAAACTCCTATCATCATCGAACTTTCGTAAAAATGTTCACATGATCATTTTGACGAATGCACATGAACTGAATAATCCCCTACTTTCAAGCAATTCAAGGCACTTGGCGAGTAATTCTTAAGAAAGAAATCGTCATCGTTAAATTAAATAAATATTTCAAAAGCGAATCTCTTCCAAACTTGAAAGAAATGAAATTTCCTAACTAACATGTTACAAATCTTTGTCTATCACGATTAGAAACAAATGCAAATGTACAGAGTGTTTTTGCACTATCATTGCAACAGATTAAACTTTAATCAACAATTAAACGATAACTTAAGAAAAAATCTCGAACTTCCGTTATAGAACTCGAATATTACGTGTAGTACGTCTGGCGCATGTTCGTTATTTATGAAACAATTAGATTCTTCTTTGTTTTTTTCTTTGACGTACATCCCAGTTAACAAACGATTCTTATCGCATCGAGTCAGAAGGAACGATCGAGTTCAATGCTTTTTCATGTGATTCAGCATGATCGTTCTGGTAACGAATCCTTTACCACACAATGTGCACATATAAGGACGTTCTCCGGTGTGATATCGCCGATGAACGGTAAGCGTGGATGCTTGTGTAAACGACTTCCCACACATGGCACAAAGATACGGCCTCTCTCCCGTGTGAATACGTTGATGCACAACGTAATACTTGCGATGTGTGAAACCTTTGCCGCATACGTCGCACACGAGCGGCCTGGACCTATGTACAGCTTTGTGGGTAGTCAACGATTCGATGCTCGCAAATTGCTTCGAGCACGAGTCGCACGGATACGAGACTACCGCCGATTTGTTCGACGACGCCACGGTACCGCTAATACTGCTAGTGACCGGATCACCGGAAGACATTACGGTGTCGGCTATTCGATCGTTCCCGGCGAAGACCGGCTTGTGAGTTTTCGCGTGATGATTGTACAAATTTCGCGTCTCGAAACGCATCAAGCATCTAGGACAGGAGTAGGGCTTTTCTTGGCCGATCTCGTGCATTCTCCTGTGCCGCTCGAGGAGCGTACGATACCGAAAACTCGCTTGGCAACGATCGCATGCGAATGTCTTCTCGACGTTCACCGACGTCGACATCGTCGGGATCGGCGGGCAGGAGGTAGTTGCTGGCGCGGAATGTGTCACTTCGTGCATCCTCAAGTGACTCAGAGCGAAGAAACTGCGCGAACAAATGGCGCACGAGTATCTCACCGGGTTCTCTATGTTGTGATCAAACTCTGGCAATGCCGGATGGCTCGTTCTTATATGGTAGTTCAGTTTCAGAGCGCTTCGAAACTCGAGGCCACAGGTGGGACACGGATAGGACTCGGTGACGATCTGCACATGATCCAAGAGAATCTGATCGGTACAAATGGACGGCAGGTGGGATGGGATGGTTTGATATGTCGAGGACATCATCGACGATTGATTGGAGAACATGGAGTTGTTCTGAAGCAAGGTATAAGTGACTGGTAAACCGGTATCTCCCGTCTCGGGCGATGGCGAAAGTATTTGACGTAGCATCCCCGACAATCCGCCGAATGTCTCGCTTCCTTCCCTGAAATCGACAAAACCCAAGGACAATGCAGCGGCGAACAGTACCATACGATACACATTCAGACATTGTCTTTGATTCGTTCCTGTGATTTTACTTTCTCTCTTGCAAACGGCAAGGCGGTGAGAAAAGATAGAAAAGCGGAGAAATAGAGAATTCACGCTGCGTGATTAATTCTGCAATAGTGACCGTGCAAAGTGCTTGGGCATTGTGGCTTCCCCTCTCAAAAGACACACAGCAATAAAGAGTGTGCGACGAGAGCGTAAGTGCAAATCGAGCTTAAAGAGTTTTGTGTCGTCATCGTTCTCCGTTTAACATCTTCACGATCTTCTTTCGTTCGTGTAGAAGGAATATTATATATTATTAGAATATATTATATTCCTTAAATAAGAGAATATTCGTATATTTCAGAAAATCGTAAAGACATCGTTGTTTCATCATACTTAGTTTCACTTTACCTTTGAAGTTCGTAAGACATGGCTGTCTTCGACGTACTATTTCTACACATATAAGTAAGCTGTTAAATAAGAAAGTTATTTTTCGTACTATTTACTATTTTATTTGTTATTAAATGTATTAGTAACGAGTCTGATTAAAAAAAGAAGAAAAACGTTCGCGTGTTTTAATTCTACTTAATTAAACCATCTTCCCGCCTTTCCACATCTCTAGACTCACAATGAAGTAATTGGCATAAACCAAGAAGGAAATTAAAGGTTTCTACAGCAAACCAGCAGAAGAAAAAAAGTCAAGCTACAAACCTTGGCAAAAAAGTTAGAAGGAAGCAAACCTTTGCTAAAAAAAAAACAAGTCATTATCTTTACTATAAGATACAATATATTTAAGAATCAAATTAATGTAATATTAAATGAAAATTGGATCCTCACCTTTATGTCGGTTGTCCAACGTCCAATGCGTTATCTTCGTATCTTCTTTCACCACAGATTTGTAATAACATTCTTTATTTAAAAAATCCACTCACGTTATAACATAGAGGTGTTAAAAATGTTTAAAGATGTAAATAAATTATGGTAAAAATATAATAAAAATGTACAATAATAATCTTAAATGGAAACAGGAAATGTTTCAAATCGCACTTTGTGTTTTAAATATGTGTCGTATTTCGCAGCCGACATATATTGCGCAAATATAGCATTTACATGCATCTGTATCACTTTTTTGTGTACTAATGCAAATGTAATTGCGCAAGAGACATAATGAATTAAAAGAATTTTATTTTTCACCGGCGCGTGAACGCAGCCTGGTTTTACATAAGCATTGAAAAATGCAAAACAATTTTGCAAAAAAAAAAACGTCTCGATTGGTTTTTTCCTCGAATAGAATCAGAAACAGAGTAATCCCCGCGACACAATAGTGCGCGATTAAAATTTGCATTATCGAAGCGCAGCGAATTTTCAGCAAAGAATATACTGAAGAAGCGCGCGCTGAAAAGCTCCAAAGAATAAAATCACGAATTTCTTTGGAAATATCGCGCAAATGAAAAAGAAAAACAATACATAATAGTTTACATAAATTATACCAATCTATACTATTAAATAAGAGTTTCAAAATGTACAAAAAAACTTGATACTCGCCTTAAATAAAATTTCGTCTGAGATCCTCTTCGTGTTTCTTAACGCGATGATTATTCTTCGATTGTTCAACACATCTTGATTAATTATTATTCTAGTTGATTAATTTTCGTCCGTTTTATAAACGAACTCTTATTTTCGATCGTGAAACACTCGATTACTTTGAACCGGTATCTACGATGAATACCAGTCACAAATGATATTGATTGAAACCAAACTCGTGGCACGGTTTATCAGCGGGTTTTGTGCGCAATTAACAGAACGATAGCACTTACAGACTAGAACCGATATGCTAAATGTAACTATGTGGTCCTGACGATAATGTAAAAGCGTATAAGGCATTGGAAAGCACGAAGACGACAAGAAACGGTATTTGATTTTCTTTTTTCTTTCTTTCTTTCTTTCTTTCTTTCTTTCTTTCTTTCTCTCTCTCTCTCCCTCTCTTTCTCTCCCTCTCTCTCTCTTTCTCTCTTTTTACGAATCATAACGGCTTGGTGACACTTTTGTTATACACCAAGCGTCTATTATATCGTGACGTTAGCTTACGAAATATTAGTTTGTGACTTTTGGTCGGCCTATTGTTAGCCGTGTGCGGCATTTTGTGCCTTCACGTAAGCGTGGGATATTGATACTGACAACATGTAAACATCTGGTTCTCAATTGAACAGAGGAATTAAATA